CTTGTGCTCACAACTGCCCAGGACCTCAATCTGCTCCGTTTTCTGTGGTCGAGGGCTCGTTCGGATACCCCCACGCTCCGTGAAGACGCTCCCCAAAACCGTTTACGAAACGGTCAAGGTCTCATGGAGCTAGGTGAGTTTGCATTTTCGTTCTTTTGCCCTTATGCTCACAACTGCCCAGGACCTCAATCTGCTCCGTTTTCTGTGGTCGAGGGCTCGTTCGGATAGCCCCACACTCCGTGAAGATGCTCCCCAAAACCGCTTATAAAACAGTTAAGGTCTCGTGGAGCTAGGTGAGTTTGCATTTTCGTTCTTTTGCCCTTATGCTCACAACTCCCCAGGACCTCAATCTGCTTCGTTTTTTGTGGTCGAGGGCTCGTTCGGATAGCCCCACGCTCCGTGAAGACGCTCCCCAAAACCACTTACGAAACGGTTAAGGTCTCGTGGAGCTAGGTGAGTTTGCATTTTCGTTCTTTTGCCCTTATGCTCACAACTCCCCAGGACCTCAATCTGCTCCGTTTTCTGTGGTCGATGGCTCGTTCGAATACCCCCATACTCCGTGAAGACGCTCTCCAAAACCAGTTTAAAAACAGTTAACACCTTGTGAAGCTAGGTGAGTTTGCATTTTCACTCTTTTGCCCTTGTGCTCACAACTCCTCAGCACCTCAATCTGCTCCGTTTTCTGTGGTCGATGGCTCGTTCGAATACCCCCATACTCCGTGAAGACGCTCTCCAAAACCAGTTTAAAAACAGTTAACACCTTGTGAAGCTAGGTGAGTTTGCATTTTCACTCTTTTGCCCTTGTGCTCACAACTCCTCAGCACCTGATTCTGCTTCATTTTCCATGGTTCTGGACTCGTTTGGATACCTCCACACCCCCTGAAGAGACTCCCCAAAACTGCCTATGAACTAGTTGAGCACTCTTGGATGTATATTATGTTCTATTTTTGTAGTGTTTGAAAGTCCGGTTAGGTCCGGTTATTGGGTGCCCAGGGGCTCTAACCGAGACTGAGACTGGTTAGCCTTTGTCCTGAAACCTAAAATAACCTAACCGGACCACAACTAACCAGTTATGGTTGGTTATTTGCAGTTACTAACCGGTTAGCACCGAAAAATAAAGAATCAGTTATAACAAGGCAAATATGCTCATATGTATCTTGATAGATATTATTTCTGCATATTCTAGCTTTAAAACGAGCCCAAGCACACTAAAATCGGTGAAGAATTGACATATTTATGCAATTATCCTTGAAAGTCTACACATTTGGGTGATATTTTAGAGATTTGACCGTAACTTAGTCAAATTTTAAGTGTTTTTGACGTTCTCAAGTGCGTTTTGAAGGTGTATAATAGGGCTGGTTATAACCGGTCATAACCGGTTATTTAATGGTTAGTTAACCGCAAAATAACCGGTTATTCCATTCTCGAAATCAACTAACCCTAACCGTGGTTAGGTTAGTGTTGCGGTTAGGTCCGGTTATTTTCCAGTTATTTTCCGGTTAACTAACCTAACTTTCAAACACTATATTTTTGTCTTTTTGCGCTCATACCCACCAACTGCCCAGGACCTTCTCATGGCTCATTTTGCATAGCCTTGGGCTCATTAGGATACCCACACACTCCATAAAAATATGCCACAAAAGTTGTCATGACCTTAATTGTTATATCTTTAATGTAAAGAAGTATAGTTACATAAATGTGAAAATGGAGGCAATATATTCATATATTAGAGTCTGACAGCCAAGTAGAGCAATACATTAGCTACCACCTACATCAATGACAACATGGATAGGACTAAAAGCAGGTGATAACTAAGAAATAGTAGAGCAGACTGGCAAAGTCGTCAATGTTGAGCAGGCAGCTGATCGTGGGAAGAAATCACTTTCATGGGAGAAAGTCAAATTTCAGCGTTACTGCGCTGAAAAAAACCTTGAATCCAGGGGAAATAAACAAGTCTCTTCGTAAACTCAGAGGACTCATAATGCTCAGTAACAGAGGTGGACAAACCAAGATGTTGGAAGCTCACAAAGACCAACATTGATGACAACAGCCAAGAAGAAGTCATACTGCGCATACAGGGTATTGTTTGCAATGCAAGTCTTCCACCTGTGAAACGACCATTCAAAATGTAAGTATTTCCTTAACTGTGAAGCGTAAACAAGCTAAAGCATCATATAACAGAGAGTCAAAGCAGTGAAGATATCTGAAGCAATCATTAGCTTTGATGGGACTTGGGGGAACAAAATTTTCCACCATGATTGAAAACATTTACGACATACAGCACATTTTTGAGCGATCACTACCCCACAACACCATGGATGCATGGGTTCCTAGTTATTATGAAACATGCAAAGCATTGGATATGGGCAACCACTATTTCACAGACCGACGTGATATAAACGGTAATGCTCCTATTTCCTTTGGCACTGAGATCGACCCACACAATATACTTACAAACACATTGTCCAATGAATTTGTTCACCTCCTGGAAAATAAGGTTGATTATTATGAAGCGCAACAAGGAACCGATAATATTATACGGTAAGCAATGGAGCACTCAAATGATTCAAATTTGACTAATACCTCACAGATACTATGAAATCAACCCAATGAAGATACGTCCAGGAGATGTTGTGGAAGTGCAGGTATCATTCGTTGCAATACCGCTTAAGCAACAAAGATACAAAATACTGGTGGTGCTACCAGCTATCACTCTACTAGATTGCAGTCCACTACGAGTAAGCCAACATTCAGCCAAAGTACACAATGCTAACAGAAAACAGAATGCAAGTATTGCACGTCGCATGAGCAGAGGTGCTGAACCCCGTCAGGCAAGCCAATCGCTGAAGAGAAAGATTGGTTATGAAGAGGATGAAGAGCATGACGCTGGGGAGAAGTTGAGCAAGATGCGCCTGGACTGAAGGGTGCGACAAACGACTTATGCACTGGTAGTATATAATGTCATAATTTTATGAACTGCAGTCTGAGTAATTTCAAACATTGTTTTCTATTGGATACAGTCAAAGGTTGGTAGCAATAAGAAAAAAATAAAACTTGAGCAGGTGATACATCAATATCATGTGAGTTCAACTTCAATATGTACAAACAATTTTACCGCGTACGCGGTAGAACAGTTTGTATTTGTTTCCAGCTGATACATCAATATCACGTGAGTTCAACTTCAATATATACAAACAACTTTACCGTGTACACAGTAAAACTGTTTGTATTTGTTTCAAAAAATGTGACATCACTGGGTCCAACTTCAACATACACAAATAGTTTGATGGGCAACCATTTTGAACAAGAATCTGAGCCAAGTAAGCCAGCTAATCTACTACCATATTGAACTGACGAACAATTAGAAAAGGGAATGTGAGTCACCATCCCATTTGACATAATACAAGATACCATCTTGGACAAGCTTATGCTTGCTGAAGATTGGAAAACACTGTCCTCCATGTCCCACCTTTAAAGTGAGCTGTTGTCTACATTATGAGACAGGCTTAACATTCTAAGTTAATACCATATATGTAAGAACCGGACTGCAACCAAGAGTGAGGACATACACATTGTTGTTGAAGCTAGCTCAAAATACTTCTATGATATGTCTACATTTCCTAGTACTGTCTGCCAATCAAGTTCAACAAATGCATTGCTGTCTACAGCACTACAGGAGTGATTCAAATGGACAAAACCTTGTACTGTGTACCATCAACTACAAAAATGATGACAGAAGTGTACAAACAGCTAGAGTGCCTGAAACCCTGAACATGGAAGACTACAAAAGGCTAGAAACCGTGAAACCCTGAACATGGGAAACCATCAATTTTCGTGGGAAAAAGGCAAAGTTCAGCGTTAGAACGCTGAAAAATTCCTTGAGATCAAGGGTAATAAACGAGTCTCTTCGTAAACTCAGAGGACTCGTAACTCTTGTTCATTGATTTCACTTTTCTGCCCCCAGAAACATCCAAGATACTCCCCAGTTCTACTACTATTTTCTGAAAGTATATTCTGGAAAGGTGAGTTGATATGTGGTGAAGATAGATTTATATTTCAAATATATATATGTATTTGAAAAATATAGAAGATATATCCTGGGTCAGGATATAATTGAAATATATGTCTTATGAATATATTCTTGTTCAAGATATAGTTGAAAGATATATCCTTGTTAAGATAAAGTGGAAAGGTATATCTTGGTCCAGCATCTAATTAAAATATTCATGATATAGTTCAGAAATTATGTATCTGGATTCATGATATGGTCGAAAAATAGATCTTGGTTCAGGATTTTTTAGTGGAAAGATAGGTGTGACTCCATACTATGACATGGTGAATAGAATTCGTTGTCCAAAAATTTACAATCAAAACTCAAGAGAAAGAGGAAGGGAGGCAGGGAGAGAAGAAGAGGAGGAGAGGAAGAAAGGAAGAGAAGGAGAGAAACAACAAAGAACTTGGTGAACTCTTGTCTGTAAAGGATGGTAATACAGATGTGGGTGGGGTATGCAGATAAGGTGCAACTGGAGAGAGAAGAAGAGAAAGATCAAAGAACTTTGTCAACTCGATGGTAATACAGATGTGGGTGGAGTATGCAACTAGAGAGAGAAGAAGAGAAAGATCAAAGCACTTTGCCAACTTGATGGTAATACAGATGTTGGTGAACTGTGCAACTGAACAGAGAAGAAGAGAAAGATCAAAGCACTTTGTCAACTTGATGGTAATACAGATGTGGGTGGGTATGCAGATATGGTGTAACTGGAGACAGAAGAAGAGAAAGATCAAAGCACTTTGTCAACTCAGAGGGTGTTTCAAGGCAGCTAAAGAATTTCATAGTACAAACTGTATCTATAGTGTCAAAGTGGATAATATGCAAGCAACTACTCAGGTAGGTTGCAGATGCTATTGATGCCCCTTATTGCTACCTACATACTGGGAGGACAGACCAGACATACTGCCAAAACCCCTGGAAATCATTGCAGAATCTTCCAGAATATATATCCCAGACAGCAAAAAAATCACAAGTTTTTTTGGTGAAACTAGGACCCCTGACACCCCTACAGACCCAAAAAATATATCCTTACCACATCTGTCTCCCAAAATATATCCTAAGGCCAAGCCAGGGCAAAAATATATTTCTAAGGTGTGACAGTGACATTTCAGGGTCCACTCACCAAAAATATATCCTTACTGCTTTTTACTTGCAAAATATATTTTGGTGGTGTGACACAGACATTATAATTTTTGTGTGA